AAGGGCCGCGATTCTCCTTTTTGTTTTTCTTGCTTTGCCTTGCTTTTGGCTAACAACTAACGGCACTTGCAAAAAGAGGCAGGAGATCTTGCAGCCGTTGGCCAAGAGGCACCACAAAAATCCACTCCCTTGCCCCACGAAGCGACCTTCTCCTGCCAGCTGCAGCCAGAAAGTGTTGCAAATGATTCGAAACCGGTTTAAATGGGCTTTGGGACGGGTTCGGATTCGGGTTCTGTTTTGAACTCGGGCTTCCACTCTTTTTCGCCTTGTGTTTGTGCCCTGAAGAAATGGGTCAATAAGAAATTCAAATGCTAAAAAACGAAAAAATAACAACGACGGCGAACGAAAAACTTGTTGAATTTTTGCGGTTATCCGAAAAAGGGGAGAACCATAACAAAACAGGGAATTGCAAGGCGAATGAACTCCAATTTGCGTTTGTTATTCCTTCTTTTTTTTTGCGTTAGGTTCAATGACTTACCGCTTCTGGCCAAAGCATAACAATTGATTGAACGAACTGCCCTGGAAAAACCAGTTAGGAACAACCCTAATTTACAGTATCCCAAAATCAGCAAGAAAAATTATTCAAAATTTATTCATTTTAAGAGGAAAGAAAACTTTGTATCCTTTGATTGGGAGAGGTTTTCTTTATACTTTTCTGCCAGCAAGTTAAGACGGCTTTAGCTTGGCTTTTTATTGTTTTGTTTATGTTCCTTGGCTAATCTTTGGCTTGGCAATGCTTTCATTGTTCTTTCCCAGATTTATAGATCTGATTCGAAAATGTCAGCCTCATAAAACTGGCAAATTAAAAGACAATAGCTGACCACAAAATGATTTGATATCGTGCAACTAAGCACACATTATTATTAATATTTAATGCGATTTCCCCCCACCAACTGCCTGCCTGCCCTGTGCATTTATTGTGTCCTTTGTGGCGCCAAGTGATATGGCTGAAACAGGGACAGGACGTTGATGGACCTGCGGAAAGCCGCTTAAAATGTTTTCCCGGTATACTCAACGGACTGCCTTCTCTCTTTTCTCTCTTTTCCCTCTTGTCCCCTTTCCCTTCTATGTTATTGTGGTTGTTATTGTTGTTGTTGTTGTGTTGCTGGTATTGCGCTGATTTAATATTTAGCACGCCTGGACAATCACCCTGGAAAACCCATCCCGCGCCATTTTCACATCAACCCCTCCGGCATGACGCCTTAGTAAAATTTTAATGCGCTTTTGATGATGGCCATAAAATGGCAAAACAAAATGCATGAAGCGGGGGCGTGGGCGTGGCCAGTCCAGTGCAAGCGAATCTCTGCTCTAGATAAAATATTAATTTATTTTCCCGCTTTTGCTGGCTGTCCATCTTTTTTCTTCCTGTTCTTTTGGGGGGCGCACCGCTGCCGCCGCCTTCGCCTCCGCCCGTCGAACAAGTTATAGTGCGCATAAAATTTTACGTATGTATCGCCGTGCAAGCTGGGCTCTTATTTTTTAAATAACTGTTTCATGGCCCGCCCCCGATGTCCAGTAGAAGCATAGTATAGTATGGTGGTATATATAGTCCAACGCCAACCGTCGCGGCCTCGCCCACTGGTTTATTAATACTTTCATTTCGAGGCGGTTTATTTGTTTTTACTTTTTTTTTTTTTTTTTTTTATATTCCCGCCTTGCATTTTTATTTCTCGCCTTCTTGTGGATTAGTTTTTTAATTTCAACAGCTCGTGAAATGTTGAACTTTTTTATTTGCCAGTCCCTCAGTGCTCTTGCTCTCTGCCTCTCTGGCGAAGCCCCAGTGAGTTCTAAAAAAGTTGCTTAGTTTTCATGAAAGTCTTTCTGGCTCAGCTGCAGATTAGAAAGATTTGATGGCGAAATTAAAGTTTGAATTATTATTGGAATATTTGCAAAGTTTGCAGTGTAAATACCAGCACTCCCAATACAAAAATAACATTTATTGCTTTGCTTGGATTTCATTTATCAAATGCCGAAGTTCAGGTTTTAGTTTTGCACAACTTTTGTTGATTGCCCACATTAATTATGAAAGGAAAATGGAAATATTTCGTGCATTTTTGTTAGCTACAAAATATATGAGTGTCATTTATATTTGATTAAACTTTTTTGTATTTGTTTAGGTGAAAATTGGGTTTTCTTGCTGCAGAGATTTCGGTGTAAAAATGAAATTTGAATGGAAAAGCTTAGCAGAAATATGGCTATCATAGATTGGCTTCTCCTGCTGGAAATTGATTATAGTTTTTCGAAGAGCTTGTTAAAGAGTTATAATATATCAGAGTATATCTCTCCCAGTGTAACTACAAACCACACACACACACCACACACTTCGCAGATCCAAAACGTTATTTACTTACACCGCTTTGTACAATTTATCAATCGAGGACCCTCGAGAGTTGACACTTCCCATGAACGCTGATGATTCCCCGGGGAGCCGGTCTAATCAGCTTCCATCATTCAACTGACTTCCTTCGTCTCTCTGGCACCAGAGCACCATTGCCATTCACCTAATGGACTCAAATTACCGGCAAACAATGAGTGGGCAGCTCGTCGAATATCCTTTCCTTTTACATGCCCAATGGCCATCGAGTCAAGGGTCAAGGGGCAGAGAAGTGGAATGAAAATGAGGAAAAGCTGGGGAAAAGTGCTGGAGCACGCGCCTCATTTATTCAATAAGCTGATCTCATAAACAGGAGTAATTTTTCCTGACCCTCCCACACTTTCCATGCCCCCTTTTTTCTTCCGGCTTTTCTTCTTCCAAGGAGGATGCGACCCCGCTCTTGACTTGCTCGATGATTGCGCTATTTACAATAATTGCAGACATTTTGTGCGCCATCGAGCGACAGTCTTCCAGTTTTCTGCTCTTCTTCTCCATTTCCATCTCCTGCCCAAGCCCATCCGTTGACTTTTCCATTTACAACGCTTGTCCTGCTGCAGGACCTCTGGCAAATCGCATTAAATGCAGCTCACCCACTGCCGGCAACGAATTGTAAAATGTCATTCCGGATGAAGATGAGGGGGAAGGAAAAAATGAAACGTATTTTCACTGCTGTTCTCTCACTCTCTGTCTCTCTCCCTCTACTCTTTTTCTACTCTCCACTTCCCACTCCATTTCCTTTTAGAACAGCTCACACTCTCCGTCTACTTCCTCCGCTTGGCACTTCTGTTTTCCTGTATTTCCATGGCCAGAATGCGAAACTATAAAGCGCAGTGAGCACACAAAAACTAATTAGAAAACTTTTGCGGTTGAAAGTGACAGAGGAGAGCTGGCCAGGGGGTGAGGGGAAAGTGTTAAGTGTGTGCGAAGTGGGGTGAAAAAAATAAACAAAAAATATTGATGGAGAGTGTAGAAGGGGTAAGCCATAGCAGCTGCATTAATAATTAAGTAATGGAAGGCACACAGGGACTATCAGTTACACGACTTGCAAGGAAGTGTTAAGTAAAGGAAAGAAAGGATACGGAAAAGGGTACAGAGAGGGAAATAAGGTATAGCTAATACATCAACTTTGAGATATATTCCAAGATGGTTGCCCAGCTTGAACTTTCTTTACCATTCTGTTTGAATTTTAAGAAGTTTTTCTTCATAAACTCATTATCAGTCTTTGTTCTTGTAACAAATTCCTCTCTGTGCAGGACATTAATAAAGCCATTATCGAAAAATGGTCATGCTTTCGCAGCACTTAACAATCTTAACGATATATAACGAAAAGTCATTCATCCCCCACAAAATTCAAAGTTGCCCCAAACAATTTGCCACTGGGAATTTGCATAGACCAGAAAAAATTCGATGGAATTTTGCCTAATCAAATAGCTTGCTTTCCTACGGCATGCCCCACTTTTCCTTCCCCTGCAGAGCCTCCTTCACCTTCCCGCGCTCATGTCTAATGCAAATCAATGTTGAAAGTTTTCAACAAGATTCAAAATTTCATGAGCCAGAGGACTTATCGATGAATTTCATGAATAACAAAATATTGCTGCTCCCCAAAAAATAGTCGAAGACAAAAGCCGCTTTGCCACTTTTCCTCTTACTAGGAATTTGATGAAGTGGTGGGGATTGGGCGGTGTAGTAGAAACAAATTGAACATTTAACCCATTATGGCCCCTAAGCAACCCAAAACCTCCCCTTTACCAACCAGAAGACTTGAGAACATTTCGCTTTTAAAATGAATAAATAGAAGTGGCTTGCAGATTTGACTGTGCAGAAGGGTGTGGGGATTTGAGTGGGGCGTGGCAAGGGAAAATTTGGCGGCTTAAATTTTCCATAAATTTCCATGCCAACGGCCAATGCTCATTATAATTTGCCATCAATTCCCAGACGCCGCTGCTATACCAAGGCATTCTTATTTCATTCTTGTTGGCCTAGACTTGACACGCCCCGGCTTTTGCTGCTGGCAGGCGCTCTTTTCAGCACACTCGAAACTCATTAACGTAATTTCCGAAAATTTATGAATGTTAATTGGGAAATTTCTTTGGCATACTACAGCGGAAAGTGCTTATTAAATTATGCTAATGAGTTCTTGGGCTTTTCACACAGCTGACACGGAACAAACTCCTCCTTCTAGACTGTTTTTGGCCAACCAAATGCGAAATTCCAATTATGCCAAACAAATGCACAAAACACTCGAATAAAATTGGTTGTAAACGATATGAAATAGCCCACACAGTGGTCACTTTGAATATGTTGGGTGTGAAAATGAATGGAAAATCATTTATTTCCAATTAACCAGTCAACTTCTCTGATCAATTTGGCCAAGAAGGGTTATTTGTTCTCTCCTGCAATTCGAATTAAAACAAAACATGCACGTAGAGAAAATATCTTGTTTAATATATTTTCAAAACCAATCTTATACTCATAAATTTTTAAATAAGAAACTTATCTTTCTGTCATTTAACTAGTTTAGTTAAGTTTTCAAATTAATTTTTATGGCAGAAAGATATATGGCTTTTTCCCCTGTTTATCTTTTATACTCATTTCTAATTTCTCTCCCAATTTCAATTAATTTCAGGATGTCTTGCACAAAATCTGTCATCCACATGGACAAGTGCTTCGCATTGTCATCTTCAAAAAGAATGGGGTCCAGGCCATGGTTGAGTTCGATAATCTAGATGCCGCCACAAGGGCGCGCGAGAATCTGAATGGAGCCGACATCTATGCCGGTTGCTGCACCTTGAAAATTGATTATGCCAAGGTAAGATCGATTGAGAGACAACAATTGAGGGCAATTATAAACCACAAAAAACGATAATTTATTTAATTACAGCCAGAGAAATTGAATGTTTACAAGAATGAGCCTGATACCAGCTGGGACTATACGCTGAGCACAGGTGAGATTCTACCAAGTGCGTTCACATTTTTTACTACCTTTTTCTAAACTAGTCGTTAAGCGATGCACCAATACATCGACACTCGAGCACCCCACACCCTCGCCCACCAAAAACAAACACAACACACACACACACCAAGCCACACACACACACTCTCTGTCATAGACACGCGCATTGAAACCACAAAAACCCACACATACTCTCAAACAAACACACACACAGAGACACCATGAAAATACGGAGAGTTAATTGCTTTTTGTGTCCAAAAAGTTGAAAAATCCTTAAAATCCTGGAGCATGCCGACATGCGCCTTTTTTCTTAGAACTCTCTTTGGCTTTGCAACTGTTTTTTGGCTAAATGTATACTTTAGTTAGCGTTGTGATGAGGCGGCTGAACGTGGCGTATGCGTGATTTCCTAAACTCTGCATCATCTTTAGTTGTTTTCCTAGCTAGCGGTCTCTTAATCTGTAATCCCCTAAAAACCACCTGCTCTTTCTCCCATTAACCAACCAACTTTTCCGATCTCGAGATATAAACACACTCACTCACTCGCTCACTCACACTACAATTACGACCAGAACTCATTAAATCAAGCATTTAACGACACTCTAGAGATTCTCAAAGAAACATTAAGGCCCACCCACACACTGAAATATATAGCCACCTGTTCGTGCCACGCCCACTCCATAGCATTGCCACTCGTTGGCTGGCCCATCTTCCACTGCACCATTTTGCGCATTTCACATGTCTCAGTGCTTATGACGGGCGACAAAGTTGCGCATTAAATGCCATTTTTAATTTGTGTATTTCACTTTGAATAAAAATGAAATTAAATGCTTTGCTGCCCGGCTGTTTCGCGCCAGACAATCAGGCGACACTGTCAACATTTTGTCGCTGTCGTTGTCGTTGCTGTCTGTGCCGCCTGGGCAATTTGTTGCTGGAGCACAAAAAAGAGAAGATGAGGTCGACAGACGAGAGAGAGGGGCCACATCAAAAGGCCGACAAACTGAGCCACCAGCGGATCCTGTCCAGGCCAACGCACTATTAACGCTGCCAAGTGTCAACGTTGCCACAACAGCAGCAACAGTATCCGAAGTTGCAACAACACCAGCTGCAGTAGCAGCAACATCAGACAGCTGAGGGGATAGGCAGATGGGATGAGGTTTTCCCAACCAAAAGCGGTAGTGGCACAAAGCCACAATAACTCAGACAGCCAGTTGGGGCAGAGTTTGCACGTTACTTTTTTTTCCAGTTGCTGCCGCCGCTGCTGCTGCCCTGGACACAGACACAAACTTTGGCTGATCCTCCATAGCATTCATCCGCCCTGTTGTATTGCCATTTCCATTTGGAGGCCAAAAGTCTGCCACATCCCAGCCGCATTCCCTATGTTTGTTTTTGTGCCACAGTGCCACAGAGTTGCAGCCATTTACTGCCGCTGCCCGCCTTGCCATCAATGAATGGGAAAACTGAATGAACTTGGCGCCGCCTCCATGAGTTGCTGGAATAAGTGGAGGCGGAGATGTGTAGCAGCTACAGCCTCATTGTCGGCACATTACGAAGGCGTGGGGGCGGTACTGTGCCAGCTTGCAAATTAGGCCCGGCACTATCTTTGTGTCCGATATAATGAACATGCCACTGTGTGCCAACGATTCCAGTCGAAGACGGTGGCTCTTTCAGCTCCTTTGTGGATGCTGATGATGAGATGATGATGATGACGTTGTTGATGGTTCTGATGGGATTGCACTTGAAGGACGCTGGGTAGAGCAATGCGATTTGCTGACTACCTTCCTAATGTTCAGTTTTTGGTAAACTTAGTTTCTTTAGAAATATATTCAAGGGGAACCATTTGATATCTGTTTCAACCCAAAGATATATTAAGCTGCCAAATTATACATAAATTACTCAGAAGTAAAATTAAAATTCCATTAAGTTCAATTTTAAGCCCACTTGGCATTTACTAGACCTTCATGTTGAGGGCGTTTAGTCGAGTTAAAAATAAAGCCACCTTAACCACTAATCGTCCGGATGGATATGCAATATTTAAATGACCATTTGAGTCACCCACTGACCGATAGTTTTCACCCACTTGGCTGGGACAAAACGGACTGGTGACATGAAAGTACTCTCGACTTGCTGCCAAGTAAAATCAATAGAATTCATTAAAATCGTAGCAAGTGACAATCCACGTCCACAATTTAACATAGTTGCCACGTCAATTTCGAGACCCGACTTCTTTATTGTCTTAACAACAATAACAAGCGGCAAAGAACAACGACGGGAAAGCGAAGGAAAACAAAAAGTGAAGTGAGGCAAGTTAAATATAAAGTGGAAAATGCAAACATAATATTTGCATAAGATTTTGCGCTCAACCTCGACGCTTTTCCTTTAGCAGAGCTAGGGCCCCTCCTCTGCAGTTTTATTCCCTATGTCCGTCGTGGCTTTCCCTTACCTTTTCCTTTTTCCGGACGAAAGGAGTCTTTCCAAGGCAATCGATACAAAATGCCAGCACGTGAACGAGAACGAGGACACCACCGCCTTGGGTAAACAAGAGTCTCCCGAAAAAAAAACCATTCGAAATGACTGGCTGGATGGCAGGGCGTCCTCCTCCTCCTCCTCCTTCTGGTCTTCTAAAGTAGCAAAGAAGTTTTTAACAAGTTGACTTGAGTGCTCACCCACCCATTCAGCCATCATCGCCGTCATCCTCTCCAGCTGTCGAGGAAGCCTTTGCTCCTTCTGTGCTGCAGCTCAAAACTTCATCAAGTACACACCGAAAATTTGTATTTGCATTTGCATTTGACAACCGTGGCGGTTGTGCATATTTTTCTGGGTAAATTTTACCATCTCCTCCTGCATTTTATCTATGCGCGTTTTGTTAATTTTCTACTCATTTCGCTGTCATCCGGCGTGGCTGGATCTTCCGTCCGGGCGGGGCGGGGTTATCCATTTGCCTTCGGGAACTCCAGATAGATGGGATCCTCCTCCTGGCTACCGCCTGCTCATCAGTAGTCGGTAGTCTGTGTATTTGCCTTCGTGTTGTCACGCGATGTTCTCTTTCTTGTTCTTTATACTTTTTTTGGCCGCAAATTGTTTTTGCTTTCTGGCTGGTTTAGCGCACTTTTGGCTCAAGGACGTTCGATTTTTCTTTTTTTACACTACGCCACGGACTTGCAACTTGACAAACCTACGTGCATTTTCAAGCGATTTTTCCACGGCCTGATGCCAAGTGACAGTTTCGTTTTGCCGGATAGTTTGTCTCCAAGTTAATTTGGTTTTGTGGCTGAGGAATAGCTGCCTGTTAGCCTGCTATCCTGCCTGGAATTGATTAGAGACACTTTTGTTGTCCTCTGCTCCTTGGAAATGGTGCAGAAAATTGCAGTTTTTGTGGGGCTGTTAGTAGTACTCAACAATATATATAATGGGACACCACCCACACCCACCCCCTGCCGTTAATAGAATCCCGTTTTTTGGGTCTTGATTGCGTATTCAGATAACCACAAAGAACCTGGACATAATTAACCGCAGAAATGTCAGTAGGCAGCCCATGAAAAACTTTTTCCCCAGGGGGCTGCTGCTGCTGCTACTGCTCTGCTGCCCATTTCCACCACAAAACGTGCACCGTAATGGCAGTCATTATTTATTTTATTTCCAAATGCACGGAAACAGCAGCAAAATAACAATCATAGAAAGTGGAACACAGGGATAAGTCGGGGAACTCTCTGCTACCTTGGTGGCCACAAAGGAAAAAAAAGGAAAAAATTTCAATAAAAGGCGGGACACAAATAAAACCAGACAAAGTAAAAGGGGGGAGTGGGAAATGCCAAATGTCATAAAAAGAAAGCCACAACAGCAGTTGATGAGGAGTCGCACACTGGAGGCCATTAAAAAGGACCTCCCTGCCTTTTCCTTCTTGTATTTTTTTTTTGGGAAGTTGAATAATAAAACATGACAAAACTATTTTATGTTTATGATTAAATTATGTTTGTTGGTTGTCCCAGGAAGCAAGGTGACACCTCCTCCAACTGCAAATACAACTTGAGCTTCGACTACACCGCTTCCTTCCTGCCCCTTCTCCTTGTGATCCTTGTGAGTCTGCCACAACAATCGAATTAAATGCGCATAAATTATTCATACGCACTCTCTCGCACTAACACGCATGCAAATCACGTTGGCAACTTCCCAGTGGTTTCCCAGTGATTTCAATTATGGCTAGATATTCGACGGCTCGTCCTTATTTATTTAAATTGCTATCGAAGAACGCTCTCTCTCTCTCTGTTTTGTTGCTTATTTTATCCTAAATCAACATGGCCAAAAACTGCCTCATCCCTCGATGTGTCTTTTGGGTTATTTATTTTTATGACACTACAATTTCTGCAAGTGTCTATCCTATGGCTGTGTGTGTTCGTGTGTGTCTATGTGTGGGTTTGCAAGTCCTTCGGCCTGACTGCCTGCTGATTATTTTCGTTTTATCTAGAGTCCCGTGCTATTTTGGACCCCCAATTTGTTTTTAGTGCCCTCCATATGCTGCCTCCAAATGTGCTTGCCATATAGTATATCCAGATATATATATATATATATATATGTATTTCTGTGGGTGGCTGGGGTTGTAACTGCTTGTCATTCGCTCCGCCCATCTAATACATCGTAATTATAACGGTTTACTTTTGCAGCATGGTTTATATTATGCCAAACGGAGCAAAGACTTCATGTAATCAGTGTGAATAATTTGGCCTTTTGTGGCCCCGATCAGATATGGGCTTTTATTTGCAGGCAACCGAACCCTTCATCCTGGCCACCCACATTTATGTCCGGCATTATGTCTTGTCTGTGCAATTGCGTGGTCCTCACTCATTTAGAACCAATTAAAATGGCTTTTATTGCTGCCCACATAATCCCAACGACCAACTTTCTGGCTAAGCCACACATTTAGAGTGCGTCCTTTTGCTTTTTTTTTTGGGGGGGTTTCACCGTTTGATAGCATTATCCATCATGATTGAGAGTCGGTTTTGGTTTCGGTTTTGTGGCTAATTATAAGAAAATATTTTTTTTAATCAAAACGCTTGATTGCAGTCCCTGACCTTATGCCTGATCTTTTGAGTTCTCGTCCCACACCAAACTAAGACATTATCACAGCACGGAATCATCCATATCTACTATATATAACTATATTTATCACCTACTCTACTAGAATACTAGCATACGAATAAACACGGCTCGTTGAGGGTCTAGTTGATACCATATAATATCTCCTAGCTTAAGCCTAGCTTAGCGTAACATACGAATACCACTCCTGAACAACATATCTTTGACAGCCCAAGGGGAAATTAAAAAGAAAACTATTTATAACAACCTAGGCTCTTCAGAGCTCTCATTAGCTTTTCTTTTCCGATATTCTGTTATACAAAATGTTGAATGTGCCCAGTGAATAAAAAATAAAGTGACAACGAAAACAAGCAACGTTTAGTTCTCAGTTCAGATCAGATCAATTTTATCCTGTCGACACCAAATCGCAACCATTTATCAAGATACCAGCAGCAACAACCACACCAGCAGCAATAAGCAAGCAACACAAAAACAACAACAAAACCTACTACAACAACAACAACAACTACAACACATCAAATGCGTCTTACTAAAAATAAAATTCAAACAGCCAGAAAACAATTAACCCAACAAGAATCTTTTATTGCTAAAACTACTAAAATCAACTATGAACCACACTTGTAAAATATGTCAACGAAAAGCCCACCCAAAAAAATGAAAACAACAACAAACCACAACAAACATTGTGTATTATAAGACAACAAATCACCACAACACAAGAACAACAACAACAACAACCACATCAAGCAACAAGATCGATCTAGAGTCTTGATCCCCCGAGTCTTCTCCAAACATCTTTTCTATCAAGCAAATCAAAGTGAGCTGAATCAAAAAAGCAAAATAAATACGAAAAAGAAAAACAAAATGAAACAACAAACATCGATATATGCAAAAACTAAATCAACAAAACGCAAACATAAATTTTAACCATAATACAACAAAGCTTCTCTCTTGCACTCTCTGCCGAAGAATCGAAGATATCGAGCCGAGGAAATGGAAAACTTGGTCGGAGAAAAGCATCAACAACTAACTCACAACTAACAGCAAAAACTATGACTAATATTTTATATACTTTTGATTTTGTTTGCCATTTTCTGTTTGTAAAACCTTTTTCTAATGATTTGTTTTTATTCTACAACAGTTTTTGGGTTTTGATTAACAATAACAAACATCACTACAACCAACCAGCCACACGGATAAAGCTTATAACCGTATGAGTAGCATACCTAGCATCCACTGCGTCGATCCCAAGTACTACTATATATATAATATATATATAAATATATATATTACCCTCCCACCACCAGCCACCCACCTGCCTGCCTTGCCTGCCAAGCTATCCAAAACTAATCTAACTAGCTAATATCCCCCAACTAACCAGAGGGTACTACCAGAATCTATCGAAAGATCAAAAACAAAAAAAGAGAATCGGGAGAAACAGCTTGTGTAACATCGATAACAACCATACTCTTTGCTACCTTACTAACCCAATTTTTGTTGTGTATGTGTGCGTCTCTGTGTGCGTAAATAAGTGCCAGATCAGAAACGAATCTATATAGATATATATTTATATATTCTACCCCCAAGTAAAGACAAAGTATTCCAACCAGAACATCTACAGAAAAAACAACCTACTACTACTTTATAACTATAACTACAACAACAACAGCTACAACAACAACAGAATGCAACCAACAAAAAAAAATCTATCTAAAATCTAAGCAAGAATATGCACCAAATTCAAGAAAAAAAAGTACAAATTCTTTTTGAAAATACCATTCAATTTTATGCAATCTATACAGCCAAATCAAAATAAAAATAAGACTGAAATTCAAAAACCACGAAAATGCAAAAAAAAAAAAATAAAGTATATATATAAAAATAAAGTATAGATATATATATATATATATATGTATTTAAAAATAACTCTTTGGGCAGGACCAAGCATTACAACAAAAAACGAAACTCGCAGAAACAAACTAAAAAAATTTTGCAAGAATTCTCACTGTCTCTCTCTCACTATCAAAAATCAAAAATCAAAATAAATCACAACCAACACTATCTACTATCTATCTCTATCTCGCTTGTGTTTGTCTGTGTGCAGGAGAGATGCAAGGCACTGTTGTTGTTGCACTTGATGATGCAGCCATGGAGCAAGAAGCGGAAAATAGCGAAAAATCAACGGAAAGGCGTTTACCGATATGGATACAACGGCAAGATATGGAAATGCAAATGGATCATCCCAACGGCGCCACAACGTTAACGACGATGGTGCCCAATAGCTTCAGAGTTCATATGATACATCCAACAAAGATAGTACCGGCACTAATACTACTGCTAATGCTACTAGTACAACTGCCAATTACAACCCCAGCAATTAGTTGTCGCTATAATAAGGCAAAGTCGTATTTGAACAGATCCTTGAAATGTTGTTGTTTGATTGCCGCACCAGACTGACCTGACGGCCCTTTTCAAGTTGCAAAAGTTTTTGAATTTTATTGCATAAAACTGAAAAATAGAAAAATATCGGAAGATATATAAACCGGAAATATACATTCGAGCGAGTATGTTGCCAATTGTGGTTGTTGCTGTGCCTGATGTGTTGACAATCCGAGAACAATCCGACGAAATCGCGATCCAAATCCGAGAGAAAACGGTCCCAAATGCGAATCACATAGAACTTGCTTATTGGATCTCATGTATATAATGTTATACATATACTTTTTGTTCTATTTATCATACCATGATACCACAGCTTGAAGTTTATTTAATTTACAATTTTATTAATGGAACATAAACAGAAATAATAATAAAAATCAATTTATTTACCATTGGGATCTGTTCAAAGTTATGTCAGCCATAGCCTATACCATACTCGTTTTATTATCGCCACTGATTTTGGGGCATGTAGAGAGAGAGTTGTATGTACTGTACTGTACGCTGGTGGTATTAGTCGGTCGGTATTGCTATCGCTTTTGGTATCGTTATCGGTATCGATATCGGTATTGATATCTCGGTATCGGTATTGTATCCGTATCTCATGTATGTAGTTCCCTCCGCCGGGCACCGAAACCCCGCTTTTTTTTGTGCCCGGCCGGTCTCAGAAGTGGTGGTAAATAATGGAGATCAGATGAGGCGTCGACTACACAGCGACTGTGCCGGAGGTGAGTCAGTTGAAGCACTCTAATCTAACCCTATGTCTAACTACCAACCATTTCATAGCTTTTAAGTGCAAAGTCAGATCCAGCCCCCCCAGTCCCTCCAACCCCCACGAAAAGCAATTGTAATCTGTCCAAGCCCAAGCACGTCTTAAGAAAACTTTCTTGCATTTGATATCTCAACTAAGTCTGCTGTACTTAGATCTAATTAATAAGAACAAACCAAAACCTCATTGAAAAAATTACCTACCACTTAAGAACAGAAAACTCGCCATTAATTATGTTTTAGTTAGATGAATTTTGGTCATACAAATCAACTTGTCGAGTACATTATTCTCTCGAATGGGGTACAGCATCCACTTGGTTTGATTTTCCAAGGTCGTTAAAATAAACTTCTCCACCCTGGCAGCGGAGCAATCATGATGTAAATCATTAGTCCATTTAACCATAAAAAGTCAATAAAACAAACGCAAAATGCTGTACATAAAAGTTAATTGCATTGCTGCTGTTCTGGTCGAAAACATTTTTGCCAAAATAGTGGGGCAAACGAAAACAAATAAATAAATTAAACAGGTTCTAAACAACTCGTTGGGCCATTAGAGGAGGTGGTGTATGCAACTATTGGGGTCGCTATTGAGCGATTGCTGGTTTTTGGTCAGGCCGGGCACTAGAAGTTGGCCCTGAAACGAAAACTTCGCCCGGAGCGTGTGAACAACTTAACAAGTTGGCGAATATTTGCGAAATAATGCTGCTCTAGTGGCCATTTTGATGGATTTTCTATATGGCTACGATGGCGTTTTTCATTCTATACTCTATACTAAACACCTAATTCCCGATAATCTTGCCTAGAAAGCGCTTGATTTATGGCGCTGTCGCCTTTTATCTTGCTCCGTGATGTATGGCTCATCGGTGACCATTTCGTTTAGCAAAAAATTGTGTGTGGTTGTCATAAATTAATCCACTTTAAATGTATTATATAAGCTGGCTGGATGGCCGGCTGGCTGGCGTGAGCTTGTGAGTTTTATTTCTTTGTTTTATTAGCGATAGCGCTTGTTCGACTGACCTACCCCACATTGGCTCTCTTATGGAATCGCTGTTTTTTTTTTTTGCTTACTACTATATTATATAAATACTGATTCATTGGCATGCAAGGCAATGAATAACGCGGCAGCAGCTGAACAATCCCAAAAATTAGCGTGAAATTTATTTATGAACACTTTGATGACTCTTCTGGGTCTTATCCGCTGAGTGAAAGAAACAAAATGGAAATGGGAACCCAGGCACTCGTGGCTCCCATATGGTCTAGTGGCTAGGATATCTGGCTTTCACCCAGAAGGCCCGGGTTCGATTCCCGGTATGGGAAAACTTTTTGCAACCTTTTTTCTTCGTTTTTTTTTTGTGCATTTCTTGGAGGTTAACCGGATATCAAAAACACACACACTTGGGTGGTTTTTCTAGTTAGCTTTTAGAAGAATTCCAGAAAGAAAAAAAAGGAAAATCAGAGAAAAGGAAACAAATCGAAGTACAGATACAGAAAATAAAGAAGCAACGCCACAGATACACACACCACAACAACAACAAATGCCAAACAACCAACCAATCAACAACATGAACAACAACAACTACAACAACAACAACCAAAAAAAAAAAGCAACCAAAAACCAAACCAAACAGAAATTCAACAAATTTGTGGATACATTTATCACGCGCAAACTGTTTGCCATTTGCTCTTATCTCATTTCAGTTAAGGAGATTGGAAATGGCCGCTCGCCATTACTGCAGGAGCCTCTATACGGTACACGACCTCAGCCCTACAGTGAGTAGAAGGCGCCTATTCATTTGTAGTTTCTGTTTAGCTGACAAATGTTGTGCCCCTCCCCGACCCCAGACTATCCCAGAAAAATAAAAAAAGAGAAAATACCAATTCCCCACCACCATCATCACCACCAACCTTCTCATTAATTTTCGTTCCTTATTCCTCCAAGAAAAAACCTGAATAAACCCCAAACTATGTTGGTGCGTGTGATTGTTGATTGTTTGGTTGCGTTGAAATGTTTGAATTATTTATTGTTTTTTCTCTTCTCGTTATTCATATTGCCACTTATGTTGGGATGCTATAGGAGCCACATGGGTTTAGTTTCTTCACTCGGGAGGAAAAGGCTCAATTAAAACAGACACATACACGCCCCCATACACGCACACACAAACTGATTCACACCTGGCTGGGAAAAGTTCTTCTAATTGCAGGCTCTAAATGCAATCATAACAATTTTCTAGCCGACATATGTGCAATTAAATGCAAAATTAAGAGCCACGGCAACGAGTGTAATCCTAATTAACTCGGTTATGAGAGCGACAAACACTCGACCCAATTTCCCTCAAGCTCGAGAATTCTATTAAGACAAATGGGCTAGCGAGTAGGAAAACTTTTGAGTCAACAAATAATCGAATGCTAGACTTGTTTGGGCCCTAAAACGTGACTCGGCGATGGTCCTAAGCGAAAGTCAGCATCCTGGGGAAAAAGTAAGAAGAACAAAAAACTATGTCACCACCAAAAGAACTGCTAAAGGAAATGAGAGCTGTAGAAAGTGGGAACTAGTAGGTTGGTGGGTGGAAAAAGGGGAGGTGGTTCAATATTATTGTACGAACATGTGTCTTCATTTCGTTGTCGACTTTGTGGCCTGCCAAGACCATCAACACTTGCTTCTCCACTTGCTTTCCCCCAAATCGATTTGGCTTCCAGCATGTTCTTTCTCTTTTTTTCTTTTTGCGCTCGTGTGTGCGTGCAAAGTGCAAAATTAATTGATTTTTATAGCATTTTCGAGTGTTTGCGAGCATTTCCTAGCATTTCTATTTCAATTGCGAGTATCGAAGTGTGAAATTTCTAGCCAAAGCCAGAGAAATTGGGTCGGGAGAGAGTTGCTTCCGTTTCGTTTTGGCAATAAAATGATAAATGTGGCCTGGCCACAAATCAAGGGGAAAGGATTCCAAAGAGGCGAAACTAATCCCTTAATTAAGGCTCTTCAGCCTGAATGGCAACAGCAGCAGTAGTCGTTGGCTTAATTTGGAAGCATACTTACTTTGTTGCTTATCGATCGTTTTGAAAAACTTTTTCCAGCAGGGGGGCAATGTGAGTCTAAAGGAAACTCAACGCCTCAGGGCCGCACCTAGTTACAACTTTTGCATTATCTAAAAGCCGCAAACTATAAACTAAAAACCTCTGCCGCAGATTCAGGCCTCAGCCTCCTACTGTTGCTACTGCTGCTGCTGGTTATCAAAACTTATGTAACCTGCCCTGCGGATATGCTGGGCTCGTTTATAATTTTTAGCCAGACAAAGTATATCTATAGAGCCTGTGTTGGGCCCTGCCTGCTTGGATGTTCTAATTTGTTGTGCGTAAATAACATTTCGAATTGGCCTGTTTGCCTGCTTGCCTGCCTGCCTTTGCATTAGGCCAGGCTCAAAGTTTCCTTGGCAAACAACAACAATTGCTGCTGTTGGTGAAGAACTTTGGCCAATGGAAAGATGTTTCCCCCTGAAACGAGCCAAGAGAGTGTGGGATGGCTTTGGGCTTTGGGGACAGACAAACTGATGCAGAAGATTAAGTAAAAATCCGTCTCTAACTGATGCTTGGCTGCTGCTTTTAATTGCATTTTACGCAAAAGTTTAAGTTCTCGTCCTCGTTGCCAAGGTTTCAATTAGAGGCTTGGGGTTTGGCCACCATCGCCATCTTCATCTCTCCATTCCTATCTGTAAGTGCTTATGCTGCTGCCCGCCCTAGCATCATTCCAGCCCAACCCCTATGCGAAGTTTCTTTATATCAAATACTGTTGGGAGTTGAGAAAACTTTTGGCCACTGCCTTGTGCTCCTCTTTGTTGTATTCCTGGGAGTTATTTCGTTGATTTTCGATAGTAAGCGGTAGCTCTTGGACCCCGTGACCCCTAACCCCTCTCAATATTGCCCAAAAACTGGGAAAACTTTCGCAAGCAAATTTTCTTATCCATGCTATTTGTTTGATAATTGGCCATGGCCACGGCATTTGGCATTGTGTACACCATGCGCCACCTCGTCCCCGTTCATTTCGTTGGGATAAAGTTTTAGTTCGCTTCCAGCTAAAAAGTCGAAATTCAATTGATTTGAAAGAGCGCACAGCAAGGGGCGAGTTCAAAGTGTAATGGATTCATTCGGAGTTTGTTGTGCTCTCTTTTTTTATTTTATTTGATTTCATTTCATTCCATTTTATTTCTGTTTGCTTTAACCCCTCTCACATTTCTTATTGGTTGGTTGCATGTTTGCTCGTGGTTTTTGGCATGCTCGAGGGGTTAAATATATGTGGTTAAGAGCCGAGCTAAATATGTTTCGTGTTGGCAAATATTTTTCCATGATTGGACCATTTGTTGCCTTTTCCTATTAGATGATTTGTTCTTTGACGAGTTTATTTTATACTCCGAACGATAGAGTTGGCCATGAGTTTGATATACTGCTGTGTTGATAAGTAATTTATTAGATGAAAGTGATATTGAAATGATTATTTTAAAATAAAAATGAAATATCTTTTGATGTATAGTGTAAAGCAAACAAAAATCTGAATAATTTATAGTTTTTTATTGCCGTTTTGCCAACTCTAGTAGCCGGAAAAGTGTTGTGTTGCTTTTGACATCTATTTATCTGTTCGTGTTTCCTTTTTTATTACGAATCCCCCACGGTCACCTCATCATTTCCGCCGACCTGCCAGATGAGTTTATGCATAGCTGATCACTTTTCCGTCCGTTGTTTTCCCTTTGTCAATTTCCCTTTTGGATTGTATACGAGTATATATGTTAGCCCTTCCCTGGTCTAATCAGAAAACAACAGCAACCCCAGTCTCAGTTGCACTTATGACAACGTCGAGTAAGAATTCCGACATTCAAAGGCAAAGGACGACCGGGATGTGAAAGGAATTCTTTGGGGGCCTTGCCAGTAGCCGGCTTTCTTCTTTGGCTGCCTAATAAGCATCCTTGGGGAAATTATGATGAGCAGAATTCAATTTCGTGTTTAATTTGCAGTGAATCCGTTTCATTCACTTACTCTCGGACCAGTACTCCTACTCGGACACCGAATTGGACTCACTTTTAGTGGTGATTTGCCAGGCACAACAGGAGTAATAAAGTATATAAGTCAAGAAAAATAACGGAAGCAATCTTCGCTGGCCGTCGCCCAAAAAGAAAATCTTCAAGGCAATTTTCATGGGGCTTTGTTTAGGCCGGCAAAAGTTTTTATTTTCCTTGAACAATTTTCGTTAAGTTTTTACCCGACTCGCTGGTAATATGCAAATTCGTTGGGTTGCCTTTGTTTTGCGCTTTCTGCCCCCTGCCCCCTTTTTATTATACAAATAAATTTCTATGTATTATCTTTCTCGACTGCATTCGCAGCTCTTTGGCCTTTTCTCCATTTTTATTTTTATTTTCATTTTTTTTTTGTTAACCACAATGAGCGCTTTTCATTATTTGCTGTGAAACAACATTTTCCCTTTTCTTTTCTTTACATTATTTTATTTATATTTTATGCTGCTGCTGCTACTGCTGTTGTTGCCACTTTCGTTGTTCTTGCCGCTGCATAAATAAGTATTTTTAATTTTACCACAAAGTTTTTTTCGGGTTCTTCATTTTCGGTAAGCAAATGAAATGCTAAAGTGATTTTTATTAAAAAGTTTACTTTTTAATCTGATGTGCTCGTTTCCGTCTCCTTCCCCTCTCTGCTTTTTTCCATCTATTTATTTAATTTTTCCCCATCTGCTCTTCTCTTTTCTTTTTTTCTGCATAATTTTACTCTGCGGTTTGGTCGTCATATGGCAGTTGCCAGCGAGGTTAATTAAAATTAAAATTTTTCGTTGTTTTTCCCTAAAGTTAAAGCGCATTGAGGAAGCCAAGTCCGCAGTTATGCATTAACTGAAAAGTTTCACAAAGTCAAAAGCCGTTTTGTTAATTAGCATATTATGGCCCGTATAACCCCCAGAAGCCCCAAAAAGTATGCTAAGCAAGAGAAATGATTCCTGGGGCTGATCCCAGTGCAATTTCAATTGCAATTCATTGTGATTAACATATTTATGGTCTCGGCGTGGCCTTTGTCATGTGCGTGTGGGGACATGAATCACTGATTCCCGGCAATCGTTCACACCTCTAAGCCAAAAGCGAGGTCCCACAAGCAGTCTACTACATTCATTCAGAGCTCGTCTCCCCTGGGATCCGAGTGAAATGCGTGAAAGCCTACGCTCCCCAAGGAGACTCAACTGAGCCTCAAATCCATTCGACGACGACGACGATGACGGTAGCGAGCAAGCCTGTAAAAACAAAATGGCCAACATCCCGACCGGAAGTTGTGCGTTGCCTCGAGCGGTTGGCTGAAACAACTGTAAATGGGAGCGTGACTACAGCAGCTTGGTCTGCCATTGCGGCTCGCTTTACTGCTGTTTCCGGCGTGGTAGGAAGTGTTTTTAATTTTAATGCAAGTGCTCTTCTGACTACTCATTGTGGATAGGCTTACAGATAAAGAAAACTGTATAAAAGTAAGATAAATATTTGTAACTTATTAAAACAGTTTTTTCCCTTCCTTTTCGACAACTTTTTCAATCTTTAAAAAAGATGAACTTTGTTCTATCTTTAAGTATATTTTAAACATGACTAGTTTATGTTTTAATTGTAGTTCTTTCTGTGTATTCGCTGTACTTCACAATCGTAACTTGGCATTTGTGCCTCTTGAAGAGCTAGAACATCTCTTTCAGCTGATGGCATCATCAATTCCGCCCACAATTCGAGCTTTTTATCAAAAATTCAGCA